GAAGCACCAACTCCATCTGCAGGTGTTTCATGGCAAGAAAGAAACAGATCCCACAAACCAGTTCCTGGTACGGGTGAAAAAAAATGCAGCCTTGGGCCACACAGGAGGAAGGGGAGAGGAGAAGGGGAGAGGAGAAGGGAGAGGGAGAAGGAGTTTTCATGTTCCTGTGTCTCTAGAGAGAAGAAAGGTCAATTACCCACATGTGAAAAAGAAGAAATGCTGTGTGGAGGTGTGGGGGTACCACTGGGGACCCTCATCCCTCAGCAGCTTCCAAAGCAGAAGCGATGGTGAGAGTGGAACAAATCAAACAAGTTCCTCCTATTGAAGTTTCAGCAAGCAATCAAATCATTTCCTCGGCCTCTCGGGCCGGGTGTGGCCCGGGGAGGCCCCAGGCGAGAAGCAGATAAAGCCTTTCCATTTTCAATGAGCTCACAGCAATGTCACCCTGACCTTACACATCACTTTTCAAACGGCCTTAAGGCAAATGCTGTCTCACCAGAGCGGCCGCGGGCTAATCCCGCCGGGCTGCCCCTCCCTGACCCCGCGTTTCCAGCCCTAAATCCCTCCTCCCTCGGGCAGCACGGAGAATTACACAACTTTTCCCCGAGGATCCTCGTCTGACCGCATCATCCCAGGCGGGGTTTAATGCACGAAGGCTCGGGAGGTGCCGAGAGCGGCAGCGTGGGCGGTGAGAACACCCACGGTCGACAATCATCCAGAAGGAAATTCCTTGATTCCTTCTTTTTTTTTATTTTTAGTGCCCTCCGAGTGCTGCAGCCTCAGAGATGCAAGAGATGAAACCTTGGGAAGGACCAATCCCATCACCACAAAAGCAGAAGGCTGAACAAACTCTAGGAAATCCTTTGGGGGCTTTCCTACCATTCCCTTGGTCCTTAAACGTCTGTAATTTCCTAAAAACACAGGTTTTGCCTAAATGGTCAATACCCAAAGAAAGCACCAGGGAAATGCTGCTCAGTGCTTGCAGAGCAGTTACCCAAAGCATTTTCTTCACTCTGTGCCACAGAATTCATCAGGTGAGCCCTCAGCATTCCTTGGAAAACACTCCACACAAATCCATCCCTTCAGCCATCCCAAAGTGCTTCACAACACATTTACCCCAAACAATGCTGCTCCCTCACACACCAGCTTCCACCAGCACCCCAAAACCCCACAAGGGCATTGGGCTGTCATGGATGTCCAGCTTCCCTTCCCAGACCCAGCTGTGCCAACAAGAACTGTGCTGGGTGCACAAATCAGAGTCCCAGATCCCCTCATCTCCCTCAAAATTCCACCTGCCCTTAGCAAACACCAGCAGAAACACAAAACTGCCCAAATCACTTCCAATCATTCCATTCAAGCCCAGATAAACTGGGAAGGGAGCTGGGAGAGGCTCCAACACATCCTTACCTTTTCCTTGTGTCCCTTGCAGCCAAGGCAAGCAGAGTGGCAGCAGCACAGGCTCCTGGGGCCAGAGCTGGGCTATTTGTGAGCTCCTAAAGCCTTAATTAACCAGCTGCAATTGAAGGTGGCCAATGAGAACAACCCTGCTGAGCTTTAATCTCCCCCTGCTTCCTCCTCCATCCACTCCCTGCTCTCCTGGCTGCCAACAGCCCCAAAAGGCTGAGGGGTGGCAGAGCTTGCTGGGCTGGGATGATGGAAAACACCAAAGCTGCTCCTGGCCCTGCAGGCACAAGGATTTTGTCAGTGTAGAATCCTGGAATGGTTTGTGTTGGAAGGGACCTTCCAGAGCATCTGTTCCACAGCCCTGCCATGGGCAAGGACAATTCCCACTAGGCCAGGCTGCTCCAAGCTCCATCCAACCTGGAACACTTGCAGGAACACTGCTCTTCCTTTGGAGCAGATCCACACAGCTTCACCTCAGCTCCTTCTCCTGCTCACAGATCCAAACCACTCCCCCAGTGGGACCCCCTCCTCCACTTCACTCCCTTTTCCTTCCCCAAAATACTCCTAACTAAAGGAAAAGACAGCTGGGCTGTGATCGTGTCTCACTTCTTGCAAAACAGCTAAAAATAAACCTAAAGACTTGCAGGTGTTTCCTCCTGCCTCCCTTGTGAATCCCTGCTCTTGCTGCAGATCTGCAGAGGAAAACTGAGAGGGAACAAAAGGCATTTCCACCCCCATGGAATCCCATCATGGGCTGGGCCCTCACAGGAGGGAAGGTGGCAAATTGGGAATTTCACAGAATTCCAGAATGGTTGGAAGTGACCTCAAAGCTCACCCAGAGCCACCCCTGCCATGGCAGGGACACCTCCCACTGTCCCAGCCTGGCCTGGGATGGAGCATCCACAATTCCCAGGGCAATCCCACGATGTCCCTGCCCTCATTCCCTGCTCCCCAAACACCACAGCCCTCAAAACCCACAGGTAAAGCCCTAAGAAAGCCCCAAAACCCCAGACCTGGTGGATCTGGGGCTTTTTTCTCTCTCCTCTCTGGTTCCAGGCATGCATTGGTGTATCACATTTCCAAGCTGCCTGCAGCAGCAATGTCACAAAGATGTGTTTATTTTAGGCAGAAGCTCCATTTTTTTATTCCCCCTTTTGTCAGGTTTTGGCATTTTCAGAGCAGCCAATCTGCAAATATCCAGCACAGAGAGTTTCCTAAAAATGAGTTGGGATCCAGCCTAATCCACCAAAACCACTGCAGAGTTGATCAGCAAGAGAGCAGCCCAACTAATTAACAATATTAATTACCTCCCACACCTGGGCCTGAGGACAAACAGCCACAGAAACCCCTTTGGGCTGCAGAGGTGCTCACAGGAGGATGCCCCCAAGGCAAGGAATGGCTCCTGGTCTGCTTGTGCTGCTAAATTCACCCTGGATTTTTCCCCACAGGTGGCAACATAACCAGGGGAGCAAAGGACAGACATCACAAGAGTTAAACAAATTAAAAGTGATTAGCAGAGAGGCTTTACAGGGAAGGCAAAGCCACCTTATGAAGAAGGAAAGAAGATTAAAGCACGGTTTCCCTGGAGCCTTGAGAAAGGTCTCCTGGATTAGGATTATAATCCCACCCCCTATTTTTAGCAGGTTTGTTATAAAGGTGCCACCCCCACCTTGGTAAGATTTGGGACAGGTTCCAAGAAGGGAGAGAGCTCCTGCTGTGACAGGGAATGATCTGCAGGGAGGCTCCAACCTTCCAACTTCACCCATGCTGTGATTCTGTGAGGAGCAGAGCATCCCACAGCAGTACAGAGCTGGAGCTCAGCCACCTTTTTCCTGGAAATAATTACCTCCAAAGCACTAATTAGCCTCTCCACGGGCTGCACCCTGGCTTGCAGGGAGTGGTGATGCTGCAGACAGAACACAAAGCACTTGCCCGAGGTCACTGCAGAAATCAGGGAGCTCCAAGCCCATTATTCCCAGACCATGTCCTCCTGTAAACCAGAGCAGCTGAACCCACCAGGAGGATGAAACCCACCTGGGAAAACCTCTGGAGAGGTGAAGCTCACACAGGTGTGGTTTTACCATCCACTTCCCCACACGTGTTTGTTTTAGGATACCTGAGGGATGCTCGTCCCTAAAACCCTCTAACCTCACCCCACCCCACAGTGCCCACAAACCCCACAAGCACATCCCTGGCTGATTTATCCAACCAGGGACACCTCAGAGCCACCCTGGAGCAGCTCAGCCACGGGGACCCGGTGTGGATGTTGGGAAGGGCACACAGCCAGCCTGGGGACAGCCCCGTGGGGCTGTGACCTGTGCCACCCCCTCAGCACATAGATATCCCATATGGATAACACAGGACAGAGCAGGGAGAGCTCAGCCTCCCCAGGGCTGGGTGGGGGGGGATCAGCACCCCCAGGTCGGTACCTCAGTGTTCTGGCACCCCCATGGGGCACTCAGCAGCCTGGGGCCAGCTGGGTCCCCTCAGCCCAAGGCCTTTGTGAGGGGCTGAGCACCCCAAGGCCAGCCAGGACTCCTCAATGCAGAGCCCCCAAAGCCAGCCAGGACTCCCCAGTGCAGGGGCCCCAGGAGAGGCTGAGCACCCCAAGGCCAGCCAGGACTCCCCAATGCAGGGCCCCCAAGAAGGGCTGAGCACCCCAGGACCCCTCAGCAGAGGAACCCCGTGAGGAGCTCGGCACCCCGGAGCAGGTTGGGCCCCCTCAGCCAAGGGTCCTTATGAGGGGCTGAGAACCCCAGAGCCGGCCAGGACTCCTCATGCCAAGCCCCCGTGAGGGGCTGAACGCCCCGAGGCCACTCAGCCCAGGACCCCCGCGAGTGACGGAGCTCCTCGGGCTGGTTAGACCCCCTCTGTGCACGGCCCCTGTGAGGGTCTCGGCACCCCGTGCGTGGCCGTGCCCCTCGGCCCGCGGTCCCCGTGAGGATGCGAGCCCCGGCCCCATCCCCGCTCACCCGCCCGGGCGATCCCCGCCCCGCGCATCCGCCCGAGGATCATGAGGGGATTGGGAGGGGGGGGCGCTCCCGGCAGCCCCCGCGCGCGCCCGCCGCCACCGCCGCGCGCCTGACGTCACCGCGGGGGCGGGGCCCGGGAGGGTGGGGAGCGCGCGCCGTCACGTGAGTGCTGGGCGGCGGGACGGACCACGCGGCGGAACGGGCGGGGGGGGGTGAGCGAGGGGCTGAACCATGATTGGGCGGGGGGAGCAGCACGGGCAGGGCCGTGATGGCGGAGGGAGTTAGGGGAGAACGGAGGGGGCAACATGGACTGAACCACGGCGGGGCGGAGGGACGGTGGTGGTGTTGGGCCGAACCACGATGCGGTGGCGGGAGCCATAGTGGAGTTGGAGAGAGGCGGGAGGGCTGAACCAAGGTGGGTGTGGGGGGGGAGGCATGATGGGATTGAACCATGACGGGAGCTATCATGGAAGTGACCTATGGCTGGGCAGGGGGACGTGTTGGGCTAAACCATTGCGGGAATGGGGGTAACCCTAGTGGGGCGGAACCACGGCGAGGGCGGAAGACATGGGGCTGAACCATTGCGGGAATGGGGGGGAGTCATATCATGGCCAGAGCTGTCATGGGGCTGCCCCGTGCTGAAGGGGGGATGTGGAAGCTTCACAGCGATGGGGACACGGCGGTGTCACCCCACAGCCACCCCAGCACCTTTCCTTGTCACCAGGGTGTCCCCAGGCTGTGTCTCCTTCTCCGTGTGCCGGGCCCGTCCCTCACAGCCGGGCTGCGATGGCGGCCAGCCGTGCGCTGAGGTGAGCACGGGGTGCCTGTGGGCAGCGGCGGCTCTCCCGCCGGGAGCGGCCCGATGGAGCTCCCGTCACCCTCACGGTGACAGCAGCCGGAGCTCCCGTCGCCCTCACGGTGACACCTGGCTCTGCTCCCGTCACCCTCACGGTGACACCTGGTCCCTCACGGTGACACCGGCTCTCTCCCCTTCCCTAGCAGTGCCCTGCGCCTCCTGGCCCGGTCCCGGCCGCCGCTCTCTGCCTGCACCCGCAGCAATTCCAACCGTGCGGCCATCGGGCACCTGCAGCGGCAGCGCTACGGCCGCCTGTACCCGCTGCTGCTCGTCAGCACCGACGGCTCCACCGTCCGCCTGCGCTACGGAGAGCCCAAGAGGATCCTCATGGTACGGGGACAGTGACAGGCTGGGAGAAGGGAGGTCACAAGGGCTTGGGATGTGTCCTGGGGGGCTCATGGTATGTCCTGGGGGCTCAGGGTGTGGTTCAGGGGCTTCACACCCTGTCCCGGGGCCTGGGAGCTCACACTGTGTCCCTGGAATCTCACACTATATTCCAGGGATCTCACACCATGTCCTAGGGGTTTCATGCCATGTCCTAGGGGTGTCACGCTGTGTCCCCGCGGTCTCATCCCGTGTCCCCCGTGTCTCCAGATGCCCCTGGACAGCAACACGCTGCCCGAAGCCGAGCGCAAGGCTCGTCTGCGCCGGCAATTCCCCAGCAAACCTAAGGCCAAGGAGGAGGAAACCTTCGAGGGCATCGACCTGGACACCTACAAGAAGTTCTGGAAGAAGTGAAGCACTGAAAGCAGAAGTGTTTAAATGTATAAATAAATGTATCAATAAATGTATAAATAAGTACAAGTCCAGCCGTGTGTGGGTGTCGCTCTGCAGGGTTCCCCCCGCGCTGGGCGGCGCGGTGGTACCGCCCGTCCGCTCCCCCCTCCGGCCGTGCCCGCGGTGGTAGCGGCGGGGCGGGCGCGCTCGGCGGCCGGAGGTGCGTGAGGGGAGCGGGGGCGGGTTCGGGATTTTGGGGATTTGGGGAATTTGGGGCTCCGGGTGTGACCCCGCGGGTCAGGCACGCCCGATCCTCGCACTCCCCAACCCGGAGGAGCCCGGGCTGCAGAGAACCGCCCCGAGCTGCTTTCACACGCCTCGGGTACGGGCAGACTCTCACCTCGGGCCCGGCAGCGTCCAGGTCCTGCAGCTTCCCCCGGCCTTGAATCCCTTCCCAGACCCCGAAACTCTCCCCCAGGTAATGCCTCACCCCGGGCCGTGCAGCTTCTCAGGCTGTACAACCTCCCCGCCGAGCCCGCCCCAGGCCATGATCCCTTTTTCCAGCCCATCCCATCCAGGCTGTGAACCCCCTCCTAGACCCTCCATGAACCCTCTCCCTTGAAGCCCAGAACCCTCATGCGCGCTTTAAACCCTCCATCAACCCTGCAACCTCCTCGCAATCCCCCCAGAGCCTTCCCACTCCTAGTCCTGAACTGTCCCCACCCAGGTTTGTGAGTCCCCCTCGCTCTGCAACCCCGTCCCGGAGCCTGAATCCCCCAAGCTGTGACTGCCCCACTGCTGGCCCTAAACCCTGCCTGAGGCTCTGAACCTCCCCCAGACCCCCCTCCTCTCCCGGCTGGGACCCTCCCCAAGCCGTGCACCCCCTCCCACCTCCGGGTTATAAACCCCCCTCTAACAGCCCCACAAAGGCCTTTGGTTGCTCCACTCACCCCTGGGGAGCCAGATTTGCTTCCCTGCGCCTTCAGGAGCCCCCCCAGAGTTGCTGGAGGATCTGGAGTGGGTGAACCCAGGGCTGATCTCTTTGCAGGTCTCCAGAACCCCCTGAATCCGCTGCAGGGTGTGGCTCCACCATGTTCGGCTCCTCCCGGGGCGGGGTCCGGGGGGGCCAGGACCAGTTCAGCTGGGAGGATGTCAAGACAGACAAACAGCGTGAAAATTACCTGGGTAAGGGCTGATCCTGCTCCAATCCCACCCTGCCTGTCCCCTGTGTGGTTTTGGGGTGTGATGAATGAGGGGGGGGTCATTGTTCCCCACAGGGAACTCCCTGATGGCGCCGGTGGGGCGGTGGCAGAAGGGCAAGGACCTGACCTGGTATGCCAAGGGCAAGAAGGACACGGGGCCCCCGTTATCCCGGGAGGAGGAGCTGGCTGCAGTCCGCCTGGCCGAGCAGGAGGCCATGATGGCAGCACTGTGAGTCCCCACCCCACAAAAACCCCAAAACCAGCAGCTGCGTGTCCCCACACACGTCACCTGCTCTTGTTTTGACAGGGGCTACAAGAGCTTGAAGAGGCAGCCCACGGGCCTCAGCAAAGAGGTAACAGGGGCACCACGTGTTCCCCCAGTGTCCCCTGGGCTCTGATTTTGGGGACACACACAGGACACTGTCCCCTCTCCCCACAGGACCTGGCTGAGGTGTGCAAGAGGGACGGCGGTGAGCGGGATGAGAAGGACGTGGATCGGGTGGTGGGTTTGGGCAGCTCCAGGTAAGGACAGGGAAGGATCCCGCAGCCATTTCACATCAATTTGTTTGATTTTAGTGTTTTTATGCTTTTTTCTGTGGTCTCTCTGCAGTGGCAGTGCTGGCAGGGTGATGCTCTCCAAGGAGGACAGGGAGGCTGCCAAGATGGGGCTCTCGGTCTTCACGGTACGGTGCCGGTCACACTGTCCTTGGAAGGTTCAAAAATTGCTGGGAAAATGCAAAAAGCAGTGCCCTTCACTTGGAATATTTGATCTAAAAACCATCTGGGTATTGTAGCACAGAGACCTGCAGGAGTTTCCTGTGTCCTGTTGGCACAGAGGTCATTTGTGGGGCTTTCATTTGGAAGCAGCTGTTAAGGGTATTTTAATTTTCCCCCGAATGTAATCTAAATTTTTTTCTAAGTTTAATTTTTAAAGGGAGAAAACCCTTTTGTCTTGTAATTACAAGCTATGGGCTCATGGGTTCACTCTGTATTTTTTCCCCCTCTCCAACCCTAGCACCAGAAAGTCTCCAGCAGCCCAGAGACATCTGTCTCCAAGAAGAAGCAGGAAAAGGAGAAGGTGGAGGAGAAAGGGTGAGGATTTTTCCCACTTTGGTGGGAAACCACCAGAAATGCCCTGGCTTTTATGGGAGATATTTTACAAAATGTTTCCATGGCTCTGTTTGGCACTGGGCTTGTTTTGCATCTCTGAATCTTCCCCAAAAGCCTCTGTGGGCTTCTCTTTGGCAAAGGAGGGATGTGGTGGGATGTGCCTGGAAAAGGGGATGGGGATGAGGTTTTGGAGCCAGAGGGATGCACAGTGCAGGGATTCTCATTGCTTGATCCATCCTGCAGACCTGAGAGCAGCAAAAAATCCAAAAAGGAGAAGAAGAAGGAGAAAAAGAACAAGAAAAAGAAGAAACACAAGAAGGAGAAGAAGAAGGACAAGGAGAAGCATTCCAAGAAAGATGCTGCCCCATCATCCTCTGATTCTTCCCCGGATCGGGATAAGAGGTAGGGGCATCAGCAGTGCAAAACGGGAGGAAGGATTCAGGAGAGCCACGCGGTCATGGCTGGCATCTCCTCGTTTTCCAAAATCCCCTTTTCACGCCCAGAATCACTTGGTTGGTGTCCCCTCTGTCATTGCTGTCACTTCCCCCCTGTCCCCGCAGGCACCACCGCAGGAAAACACCGCAGCAGCAGCACGGCCGGCGGCGGCACCGCACGGAATCCGACACGGAATCCTCGAGCAGCGGCAGCCGCAGCAGGGACGGCCGCGGCCGCCACCCGTCCCCGCGGAGGAGGGGCAGGAAGAGGAGCAGGTCCCGCTCCGCCCCGGCCCGCGGGCTCCGGCAGCGCCGCGACACCGACTCGGAGGACTGAGAGGGAGCTGGGCTTGCTTCAGGGACAGATAGCAGAGACTGATTTATTTTTTAAGTGATGAAATGAAAAACGCTGCAGCCCCGCGGGTGCCGGGGCAGTGTGTGTGGCAAAGGGCATCGAGGCTGTGGTGGCAGCAGCCCCTTCCCTGCCCGGCCAGGGGCAGCAGCAGCGGCTGTGGGGGCAGCAGGGCGCCCTCCTCATCACCCCTAAACTCCATCCAGGCAGGATTGAGCACGGAGGGTGCTGTGGCTGAGGGCTGCTGCTGGGGTGCTGACAATGCTGTGGATACCTCGTGTTTATGGATAGACACTTTGGAAGAGATTATTATTATTATTTATTGTTGTTATTATGATGGGGTTTTGTCCTCTTTCTCTGCCTGTGCAGTGGCTGAAGAGTTTCTTTAAAGATTCCCTAAGTTCATCAGCTGCATGGATGGGAGTTTAAAGCTCATCTAGCTCCAGTCTAGGGACACCTTCCCCTGGGCCAGGCTGCTCTAAGCCCTGTCCCACCTGGCCCTGGACACCTGAATAATTCCTCAATTTACAAGGAGAAAGTGGATGGGACCAGGTGTCTCCTTAGGCTTTTGCCCTGGCCACATCCCCCCAGCCCAGGGGGCAGCAAATTCCATTCCCAAGCCTCAGCACGTGATTATTGATGTTCTTGGCACACTGAAAGAGGGGAATTTCACACCAATAAATAGAAATATTGATCCAAGTGCAAAGGGGGTGTCCCGAGCAGCTCCGCAGCATCGCTGCCAAGTACAAGGGCCTCATTTGTGTAATTAATGATGCAATTGAAGACAGGCAGGGTTTGTGTGTCTTGGTGGACAAAAGCCCAGTGGCACCGTGCTCAGGAGCTCACAAAGCCCTTCTGTCCCAGCAGTGGGAGATGCTGCAGAGCTGTCACAGCCTGTGGTGATCCCACCCCAACACCACTTTTGGGGTTGGCAGCTCCTTGGCACCAGGGCTGCTCCTGAGCCATCCCAGGGCACAGCTGGGGCACCCTGAGCTCCTGCACTCCCTGGCCAGGAGCTCTGGCCCTGCTGGTGCTCACCAGGCTGAGCTTGGGGTCACCTTCATGGGATCTTGGGATCCAAACTGTGCTTGGAGCCTGCAGGGAACATCCCACTGTGGAACAGCAGAGCAAAAAACCCACAAAGCCCAGAGTCCTGCTCTTCCATGGGCTCCCACGTGCCACCTTCAGTGCCAGGCTTTGGGCTGGATGGGTGGCAGGGGGGTATGCACCCACAGCCCCTCAGCACAGGGACAGGGTCCTGGTGTGCCCAAGCACTGCTGGCCCAGCTCAGTTCAGCTCTCCTGGGCTTTCCCCTGCTCTGCCCTGCTCCTGTCTCACACTCAAACCAAGATCAGTTTGAGACCCGCAGGACTGCAAAGCCTGTGCTGCCCAGAGCAGAGGGCACAGCTCAGATAACATCACCACATTCCCCGTTTTCCACACCAGAGCAGCAGCATCCTAATCCAGCTGGCCCTTCAAGTTCAATTCCCTCCCAGAACAGGAATAAAGAGCTGTCCTGCTCTATTAGGGATGCAAATATCCTGATTCACAGCTGGAAATTCCAAGGTGGATTCCTGACTTGCAGGAGGTTTGTGATCCCAGTTTGCCCAGTGCTATTTACTCTGTACTCCAGTGCCAGGTTACCCCCAGGGAATTTGCTCTCTAACCTGCAGGACAGACCTTTGATCCTGCAGCTTTCCAGTGCTCTGGGGGAGCTGCTGCAGCTGCAGCCAGGAAAGCAGCCAGGAGCTGGCAGGCAGCCTGAGCACTGGGGAGAGGAGAAGCTGCAGCTGACAGGGAAGGCAGGAGGATCATCCAGAGGGAACTGCAGAAAGGGAAAATGCAAAACAAAGCACTTAGGAAGGTGGAATTCCTATTTTTCCCCCCACAAAACTGCTAATTCACAGATGCTGTAATTAACTGGGTCCAGCAGGAGGAACAACCTGTTGGGGGAACCGATGGGGCTGCTCAAGCAGCTCAAGCTGTGCTGCCCCAGAGGCAACAAAGTGACTCCAGCAGAACCCAACAAACCCCACCCACCATTTCACCTGCAGGGTTCCAACCAGGAATGATTCATTTCTTGGAAAACACAGGAGATCTCCTCAAATTTCCATGCAAATCATGATGTGGCAAAAAGCTGCCTGGATTTGGATCCCCTGCACAAAGCTGATACAAACCAACACGATACCAGTGCAAGTTTCATGAAACTTTTTATTCAACAAGTATTTAATTATGATTCTGCCAAGATGATCGAATGAACAGCAAGGCATAAAAAACATGAAATAGTTAAGAGATTTTATTCTAATAGCTTTAATTACAGTGCTTGTTTGTCGAAATGAAAACTGAAAACAAGTATACAAAACAGTTGATTACTAGTTGTGTATTGAAAGCAATAAAGGTTTCCACAACACTAAATAAACCAGTTCTGATAGTTCCTCGAGTTAAAGTTTAACAGCTCCAGCTTCTTCAGTGTTTATCAAAATACAAAAGAAAAGTAAAGAGGTCTTTTTTTTATTTTTCTGATGGCAAATCTGAACCTTGCAGTATGAGGGATGCCAAGGGTTTTCACACATATACAGATATGGGATTGTTCCAAAATGGGATTGAATACTTGCAGAGTGGAATGACTCTCCAAACTCTCATGCTTTTTGTTTTGTTTTTTTCCCTAGACACTATACATAGATGTTTGGTGTTTTTCATGGCAATTCTTACGTTAAGTACAGTACTTTCTGCCTATAGAGCTTAGGACTAGGACAGGCTGTGCTTCCTGTGGAAAGGTTTTGCCTTCTGGAGTGGTTTAAGCACAAGAAAAGTACAAAACACTTTTTGACAAATATGACAGGCTAAAAATGTCGACTTCTGGAAATGATTCAAGTTCAATGGAAACGAGAAATCTCACCTGAACCAAAAGTCAGATGTTTAGCATGAGTCTGCAAAGCTCATCTAAACCAGGCCCAGCAAATCCTTGAACGGTTGTGAACGAAGATGAGCACAGACTACGAGCTACAGAAAGAGCCAGAGATCTACTACTTATGATCTGGTCATTAAGCAGATGAAGCTAATTGGGTGTCAGTCATTGCTTCACCCTTTCAAAAGAATCAAGAGTCACCACGTTAGAGCTGGAGCAGCAGAAGCGATGTCAAACGTTTGTGTGTTTTAAGTGTTTTTACTTTTCCTTGTCTATTTAAAAAAATACAGAATTCAGGTTAAAAACCAACCACCAAAATGGATCTCACAGATCTCACAACCCAACCAAGATGGAATCCAGCTCTACTGCACAAGGACCACTGGCAACCCTTACGTTATTAACCCACTGAATTCCCTTCCAGGTACTAAACAGTGACTCGATTCTTTACAATAAAAAAGCTGAGTAATATTGCATAGGAGTACCAGAAACTGCCTCATTGGAAACAAAAACTATTTACATTAAATAAGAAACCTAACTGTTTTCAGGCTTGTATTTGCCACATTTACAGCATGATGCAATATATACTGTGACAAAAAAGAAATGAAAACAGCTTCCGGCACTCAATACCACAAAGTAGCACAGTTTGCCACATTAGAGTAAAGCGAAGGGCGAGTAGGAGGAGATAAGAGGGAGGGTGGAAAAAGAGGGAAGAGGAAGGTTTATGGTTTCATTTCTGGTTTCTGAGCTGATTGGACAACCAGTCCAGTCCTTCATAGAGACCGTCTCCACTAGTGGCACAGGTGGCCTGGATGTACCAGTTCCTGTGACGAAGAGAATGCAGTCCGAGTTTGTCTGTGATTTCTGCTGCATTCATGGCGTTCGGCAGGTCCTGGGGGAAGCAACAACAGTCATTCCCTGTCACACACACCTTTTCTGGAAAATCCTCCCCTTAGGATTCCTTCCTCCTGAGAAGCTGAGAGGCCTCAGGAACAAAACGTAACCAATCTGCTGCTGTGGAATGCAACAGGGGCACCTGGGATTGGGCTCATGTGGTTGTTTCTAATTCATGGCCAATCACAGCCCAGCTGGCTCGGACAGAGAGTCTGAGCCACAAACCTCTGTTATCATTCCTTCCTTTTCTATTCTTAGCCAGCCTTCTGATGAAATCCTTTCTTCTGTTCTTTTAGTATAGTTTTAATAGAATATATATAATAAAATAATAAATCAGCCTTCTGAAACATGGAGTCAGATCCTCGTCTCTTCCCTCAACCTGAGACCCCTGTGAACACCCTCACAATTCCCCACTCCTCCATCACCAGCTTTAAAGTCATAAAAGAGCTCTCAGAACTTCTCTTTCAGAAGACCCCAGTGGATTACTGTGATATTCAAGCTATTTCCCCAACACTGACAAAAGCCTCAAAGGTTCAGCAACCCAATCTAAATCAACATTATGGAATATTTGAATATGAGGGAAGCAACAACAGTCACTCCCCACTCCTCCAGCACCAGCTTTAAAGTTAAGAGCTCTCAGAACTTCTCTTTCAGAAGACCCCAGTGGATTACTGTGATATTCAAGGTATTTCCCCAACACTGACAAAAAGCCTCAAAGGTTTAGCAACCCAATCTAAATCCAAAATTATGGAATATTTGAGTATTATCCAGCCATTCCCCCAGTGCTGACACTGCTCAGATTTCCAAGTCCACATTTCAAAATTATTGAAGCATAATGAAAATTCTGTGAGAAGGACCTTAGGATTCTCAAAAACACTTGCAAGGCAAATGACTGCTGACACCTGACTGTTCATCCAAGGTCTTGTAAGGAACTAAAACTTTGGAAAACCCACCTCAAATTCTAATATATTATCCGTATGTTGCTGCAAGTGAATTACAAGTCCCAGTTTGTAAAATCAACTCCTGTTTCCACTCAGGAGTATGCTTTCTGTGACTGCAGGTATTTTAGCACCCAGTCCTACTCTGCTGAGCTTCTTTAGAGGCCACCTTTCCTGCTCCTGTGGCACCTTCACCCTCCCCAGCTGGGGCTGTGCAATCAGTGGAGCAGGATGTTCTTCCCTCTTCACATTTCCTGGTCACATTTCAGCCCCTTCACATTTGGGGTTAAGCTGCCAAGGCCTCCACAAGCAATAAAAGCACAACTCTGAGGCCTGGCAGAGGCCAGCTCACAGATCAGCACAAGCACATCAAAACTCCAGTGCTTCCACCCTCAAACAGCCTAAATGAGGAATTCAGGGAGGCTCTGGCATCCAGCATTCCTCTCTGCAGGAAGTCTGGGCAGGTGCTGTAATTGAGCTATGTCAACCTTAAAAATCAAACTGATTTTCACTAAAACTGAAAATCTTTTAGCCAAGATTGTTTAGAAGGATGTTCCTTTCAAATGAGAATTTAAATCAATTTTTTTTCTCCCTTCAACATACCTAAATGCCATTTACTCTGAAA